TAAGTGGGGGGACTACTGTATTTGGTTTCAAAAGATGTTACTCATCTACTAAGACTGATAAATTTAGGAGCAATAAATGCATTTAAGTAATCAACCTGTCAAGACTTTTCAAAATCAGCCTTAAAGATTAAAATTATCAGCATGGGTTAGTGGCTCAGTAAAAACTGGAAACTTGAGTTATTTTTCCTTTTTTCCAGCTCTGCTATAAGGTAACTGTGAAACTCTGTGCAACCCCCTTTACTACCCTATCTGGCTTACCCTTTGTCAAATGGGACACAGAACCGAAAATCTGCCAAGGTTTCAACTAAGACACCCACATAAACACGAACACATGTATAGATATATAAAGGTTACTTTGAAAACAAAACAAATAAAAACAAAATTAAGAACACTACTGACAAAAATGACTTAACTCTAGAAACCATTTAGCAACCCAAATTGCTTAGTGACCCTTGTACCACTGATATGATTCCATGAAATATTTAGAAAATGAGTATCAACATGCTCAGAGACTGGTTAGACAAGCAGCTAAGACAATGATAAGACAGCAAAAGCTTGGCAAAAAGCTGGGCAGCAAGATGACCAACAATGTGATTTCAAAGGTAAAGCCACTAATTCATGTATTACTGGTGTCTCAGTGTAAAGCAGACCTGTAAGCTTGACTTGTCACGTCTGTCTACCTCATTCATACTTCCTTTCCAGTTATCTTTGCCACTAACCTGGATTTGCTACTAGCTTTCACTTCTCAGGCCTGGACTCCCAAATAAAGACTTCCTAATGGATCTCCCCATCTCCAGACTCTGGTTTCTAATTCATCTCAGGCAGCACAGGTGAGATGCACCTTCCTAAAGGACCATTATTAAATTATTAAATTGTTCTTTAGGAAGATGGACTCCTGGGGTTAACATTATGTAATGATTCCCCTGTAAACTGAATTTCCTAAGTTTAACTCAAGGTCCTCTCTAGTTCTTTCACAACTTCCTTTTTCAGTTTTATCTCACAAAACTCTTCTCCCCGACTCAGTGCCATAATCAGTCTGGCGCTGCAGGTATGTTGTTCCCTTAGCATTCCCTAAGCCTTCCCACCTCTATGATGATCTCTTGACCCCTTCCTCTTCCTCCAACAGAGTGGCCCAGCTGAAATACTTGTTCGCCTTCAATATAGCTGGAATCCACAAATATTTACAGAATGTTTTCCGTGTGTAAGAATGTGCTGTACGTACTGGAAGACGAAAAGATGAGAAAGCCCTCTAAGAGCTTTTATAAAAGAGCGGGGGAAAAAATAGACAAGCTGACAAATGATGATATCCCAGAAGAATGTAATCTCTTTGTTCTCTTTTATTTTACACTACTGTTACTCTGTATATTCTCCCAGGATGGGAGCCACGTCTTGGATATCTTTTAGAACTTTTCACAGCATCAAGAACAGTGTCTTTAGGGCCGGCCCGGTGGCGCACTGCTACAGTGCGCCGCTTGAGAGCATGGCGGCACTCCCCCCGAGGGTTCGGATCCCACATACAGACCGGTTCCCGCTCACTGGCTGAGCGAGGTGTGGCAGCAACACCGAGGGTTGCGATCCCGTTGCCGGTCCCGGTCCGGTACGGGTGTGACACTGAGGGTTGCGATCCATTGCCGGACACGAAAAAAGACAAAAAGGAAAAAAAAAAAAAAAAAAAAAAAA